TTTTCTCGAGTAAAGCATATTTCACAAGTACATATAAACAGCATATGCTTGGGTATGAGAATCAAAAGACTGATTTTGAAAAAATTTTAGAATTCATTAAAAATATTATTTTGCAGTTTGTACTTCTACAGATGTTGAAAAAATTTACTCCATGATATACAGAATTTTATGAAATGACCCAAATTAGAGATTTAAATTTATCAAAATCAAAGAGTTGAAGCAATTTACAAAATTTTTAGGTGCACAAAACAGTTCCATCGTCTTTTTTTAGAATGAATTCTTTGGAAATTTTCAAATCAAAAGTATGAATATTTTTCCAATTGCATAGTTTGCAAACAATTTGTTTAATAAACAAGACCTTGTGCAAATTAACAGTTTGCACCCATTCAGCACTATTCACATTGAATATATCAATTTCATTAGCCGAATAAACACACAAATGTGGCATTATACAGACAAAACCACCCGATGACGCTTCTGTCGGAAACATCAATTCTTGTGAGCGACATCGACGACCTGGAAAGAGTATTCCGAAAATTCCGAGTTTCGTTTCAATCAACTATTTTATTTGGTATTAAAAGTTACCGATTTTCCCGAAAAATTTTTACTCATCAAAAAACTCTTTCATTTTTTGATCCGCTTGATTCATATCAACCGAACTACAGTTACATGAATATGTATAATAAGTAATATACAAAGTAAATAATACATACATATAATACAGTTCCATGAATAAGCTCGCTTAATTGTAACTACCTACCCATTTCACATTTCTTACTTGAAGTATTCCGCAAAAATTTTCATTATACAGGTAAAAATTTTTAACATATTTAACGATATAAACTTACCTTGCGCATCGACGTAAACACCAAGACGTGAAAATATCAAAAGAAATTCCTTCTGCTCATACCCGCTAACATTAATGATTAAGTGAGCATCATATAATGTTTGATTAAGAAATTGAAGTGAAGAATCCTCGAAATTTACCAGTGCTGAAATTTATTTGAAAATTATAGCATTATATTTTTTACCCTTGAAATCAGTTATATCAACTAGATCCTTATGATTAGGCCTATGGAATTCATTCACTATTATAAACAAAGATTACACACAACTTAAGATTTCCCTATAAGTTTTGATATGAAACTTGAATTTTCCAAATTCCTGAAGAAGTTTCTGATAATTTTCGAAAAAGATGGAAAAGTGCTTAATAAAGGCATACCAGTAGTAGTGTTATCCACGAGATCCCACATGCGAAAACCAGAAGGATAGCCAACACACAGTTTACCACGCATCACTGTCATTGTTTGCGGCTGTCCGGGCATTGCCAGTTCTCGAACTTTTCGATGCCTCTTTTCACTCCGATCGATTTGAAAAACAAGTACCTTAAAAAAAATTATTCAGTGCTAATTCAAAACATGTTCAAACTCAAAAATTCCTCAAATTCAAATCTAATATCAGAAAAATTATTAAATAGAAATTAAAAAAAATATCAACTACATCGTAAAACGCAAAGAAGTAAGCTTCTTTACTCCAAAAAAATTTAGATCGTTAAATAAAAGCGCTTTCGACAAGTGTCTAATTACCACCCATATTTAGAGGTACTAAAATTTCAAGAATATTGCTATAGCAAAGTTAAGCTTCAAAACACCACGCATATTTCGGCTAAACTAAAAAATGCTAGGATAAATGCTAGAGTTCTATAGTTATAATTACATAGCAGAAACAGTCATCTTCAGCAGTTGGCCCAGAATGTGAATCATTCATATCCCATATATTAATCCATTCACTCGTTATTGTGAAACAGTACTACGATTCTCAAATACATTATTAGTTATTTAGTTAACTTTTTGAAAGTTAAAAAGGACCGATTTCTTGATTGCAACGCAGAAATAATGACATGGATCGCTTGAGCTACCAGCACCCATCGTCATCAGATGACAACCTTTTGTTTCTGCTACTTTAATCCATTTCAAATCACGGCCATCAAGTGCAGCCATCGGTATTAGACGAACATGACGATCTTTTTGTGGACCAACTAGTACAACGAATAGCTTAAAATAAACATTACTAATTTGATTTTCAAAAGCATAAAAAAATAATGAAAGATGAATTAAAATTTTAAAAGAATATGAAACTCATCATTTATGTAAAATGCGCAATATTGTTTTCTCGCTGCTACTTTAAATAATTCTGGTTCGGTTTTTAATAGTTAGTTTACCTGTTCTTCTGCATTATACTCTACTCGTTCGACTGTTCGTTTATTATTTTCCTTCTCACCACCAACTATCGTTATTGACTAAAATTAATGATCACTGCGATAAGCATGAATCCTTTTGAAATTATTTAAAAATCAAAACCGTCAAAAAAAGCTAAATTTACATACTAGTAAAAAAAAACTTATAAAATCCTCTATATCTTCATTTCTTCACTTTTAGTTTCAGGAATCTAATCGAATACGCCTTTCAGTTGAGTAAAAGTACGTTTTACCGAAGCAAGCATTTGCAATCAATTAAAGCTTAAGATATATGTGTAACATTGTACAAATCAAACGAAGTTTGGGGATAATTCTTTTGAAAGACAAAAATGAACAGAAAAATTGTTATCGAAATGGAACTGTTGATCAAATATTTGAAATTTGTAAACTGTTCCCATTCCAAAAACTAAATGTAAAAGTAATTCGATCGTTCAATCTTTCAATATGTTACCTTTTCGGCCTGTCAAATTTTTAAGCCTTTATTTTCTTCGATCGAATTCAAATTCTAAACTAACAATAAAATTATGAAAGCAAAAAGTAGTCCATATACAGAATAAGAAGCAGATTTGAAAATTTAGCTTAATCCATACCAATTTAATCTGCTTAACTGATTTTCCAATCAAAGTTAAAAAAAATTCATATTTTACTTTATATATATATATATATCCAAAAAATTCATTCATTTTAAAATTACAGCAGGTCAAAAGTTTTTCATTCAAAATTTCAGCACAAAGAAATTAAAAAGGTAACAACCTGGAAGGTAAAATGGTAACGATACGTGCAATCGGTGAAATGTACATTGAAATAACCGGCTTAATGGCTACTTTTTGGGCATGCAATGTGGTTATGAAATATTTGTACTACCATCAAGCAAATAGTTCATTCTTGAATGAATTTATTGCCGTTTTACTATGCTATGTTGTAATACCAATCATTACTCTCGTTAACATTATTCATCCCGAATTCTCAAAAATATGGCAAAGATCACGAATTTTACGAAAATCCAAAATTCTCTTTTTTACCATCATCGAAGTAAGCTACACGATAAATTCATAACTAATTTTCATTTATGAAAATAAAAATTTCCAGTCATCTAAAAATATTTTAGCTGTTTACAATAGGTGCAGAAAGGAAAAAAAAACTTCTCCCGTACTCCCGAAACATATGCAACAGATTTCTCCTTATTACTAGAAAGTAATTTGAGATAATTCATCAATATTCGATCAAGTAAATGGAATCATTAATTAAAGAGTGAGCAAAGTGACTAATCAAATAAAATTAAATTGGTATTCAAAGAAATGAATAAAATAACAAAAGCATACACTTCACAAGGATCAAAAAACCACCAAAGTATCGTACGAATAATGTGTTCGGAAAAATTTCTATTGTGAAGTAACAGACAAACTAAGGCTTGCTTGCAGGGCATTTTATCAGGCTACATATTAAGTGATAGGGAATATCACCAGACACCACCAACCGTTTGGTTCGTACCCTTAGGTATTGCATTTGCGACATCTACGAAATATTTCAATATCGGCGCGTATGTCATCTTTTGCTACTTTTTCTCCATTTTACTATTCAATCCCAAAAATAAAATCAGTAACTTAGAAACTGATAACAAGTATAGTAAATAGATAAAAAAAAGCATCTTAGGAACTAATCATTCAAGTCTATGAGCTGCATTGGAAAATCGGCTTATTTTTTGGATATTAGCCGAAATAATATAATTTTTAAAATCGACAACTGAATCATAATAATGTGATTAAGCGATTAAAATCAAAAGTTGAAAAAGTAAAAAAAAAACAATAAAAATAGTAATATAAAGCTTTTACATTACCTATGCAACTGATTTCGTTGTTTCTATTTGATTTTATGCTATTTATTAAAAAAATGAATAAATTAAACTAAAAATTTTTATAGATGTCCTGAAAAGTTGCTATTTATATCAGTTGGACTGGGTGCAATCAATCAATTAGTTTTTGGACTAATTGTAGGAATTACATTCTCATATTTATGCATTTCCGCCGTTTATGCTGTCATCGGATTTCTTGCCGTTCAATTTTACATCAAAAAATATCGTGAAGAAAAAGTAATTTTATCAAATAATTTTTATAAGAAATGTGAAGAAAAAAAAACAGAAGGAAAAAACAGAAGGAAACAGAAGGATAACAAATTCTAGAAGAAAAACACAAAGAGATCTAAGATAATTATATTCTGCATGTTTAGAAATTTTTCAAATTAAAATTTCCATAATCAAATTTTGCAAGGACATTGATTGGAATTTTATTAGTTAAATCCCTGTTATATTTTTATAGTAACTATATTTGATTTCACTTTTAATTTTAGCCTCTAATTTTATTCTTTTCCGAATTCCGTTACAGAAAATGCACGAATTATATCAGATGTCTTATATATTAGCCAATGTTTACGCAGAATTGTTCCTTAATTATATATTTGCTTACAGCTTATAAAAGCATTCTTATCCAATTCCTTAATTAAAATATGATACAAATATTTGCTGTACTATAAATGATTTAATAAAACATTTTTTCATTTTCATGTTATTGCAAATAAAGTGAAGAAAATGAGAAATATAGCAGTAATACCTCACGATCCAGATCGACCGCATATAAACCATGATCTGTGAAACCCATAACAATTTTGCTTTTATCTATAATTGCAGCACACTGCGCATTTCTAAGGTCACGAAATGTTATCGAATCAAACACTTCCTAAATTTGAGTTCTAAATTTAATTTCAAAAAATTTGAAAAATTCAGAATATTAATTCAGAATATCAAATAAAAACTCTATTAATTCTATAAATGAACCATTATACGAGGAAGTAATAGCTTCATCCACACTCATACCGAATTATTAAGCAATGTTTTATATCCAGAAATTTTAGAAAAAGTGCCTCAAAAAATGAAAATTCGTAGTTTTTCATGCTATTGACAAAATAGCTCGCTTAAAACACTCATCTATCTGCATCACCAGCAACAATAGCTAAATTTTGGAAACATCTTAAATTTAGGCGAATGATATCAGACTGTTCTTGATACTAACAATAATATCAATAACACTTACCTTAACTATAAAAGCACTCTTATCAACGAGTTTTGTTCGACGCAGAAGACTTTTTAATTCATTCAATGCAATTACCCACTTCGTCTTTTCCTAAATTACAAAATCTAGTAAATTTAAGCCATATAAAAGATTATTTTCATTGTAATAAGTCATGCGATATTTCGAAGTGTTGCTGAATCCATGCTTTAAGCACTCAGAATGGAAAGTATACTACATGTGTTACAAAATTCGATAGCCTCACAACGAATATGGCTGGAAAATCGTTACAAAAAAGCTTTAGTTTCAACTTACATCAGGATCATCTGCCATGAGAAGAGTGTATTGCCGTGAAACAGGTCCTTCCGATGAAGCACTTCCGTTACTTGATGTCGATCCCGTTGTATTGATACCCGATGTTGGCAGTGTACCGTGAATTTGGCTTGTTGTTATGCGAAATATTTTCGGTAAATCAGACTTTGATGCATGAATAACGTCGGCTTCCGTAACACCCGTTACTGTGAAATCCGTATCACGCATGTCCAAAACCTGGAAGAAAAAGGTTGCCAAATTTCATCAAAACTTGGTAACATGAAAAAATAAAATTCCTAAAATATTTGTAATTGAATTATTTAATTTTAAAAAGCAAAATATAAATTTATTTCAGAAGCAAACACATCAACAATATTACCTGTCTGATAACTGGATGAATATCGATTGCTTTTCCATTTTTGTCTGTGCTACAGTCGTACAAATACAACTTGAAATCGCATACAACAACATACGTTGACTGCCAACCACGTTTAACCCCAGATGGTTTCGGCGTTTTAACTAATCCTGAAATCAAATTTATAAATTTGTCAAAACAACATTAAATATAAAATAAATAGTCGTTTCAAGTTAGATTAGAAGTAGTTTGCAAAGATATTTGTTTCCTTACGAAATAACTAAAAAAGTACACAGTTCAAAAAGTCAAAATATTTGAAGTTACCTTCATAAGCAGTGCCTGTTCCTCTTTGCGGATCAATACCTAGTGGCCTCCTTGCTTCCGGCGGAACCGGACAAACCAACGGTACTTTCGGCAAGCAAGCGACGTGGCAAGCATACTGACAGTCTTGACAAAAGAGTCCTGAAAAAAATGTGTAAGATTCAAATTCTTCAAATTGTCTGGATAGACCTTTATTTTTTTGCTTATAGATTGATGGATGATCAGATGTTGGCCAAAATCTAGTTCCTGGAAATTATTGCCGATTTGATCACCTAATGATTAATATCGAATATCGAGGAATGATATAGAGAATTGATCACTCGTCAAGAGCGCTATTTCTAAGCAAAATTGTGAGTACTAACCTTGTCGATCCAAACCGATCAGAATTGATGTGCAATAAGCACATTTCGATGGTGTTTGCAAGTGTATATGAGAAAATCGATGACCTTTACCATTTAATGCATTATTCAAGGTCTGAATAACCTAGAAAATAGGAGAAAGATTGAAAATTATGAGGAAGCAGATTGGTTTGCGTCTAATGTCTAATTATGAAATGTATAGATTGCTTCATTCTACAAAAATTTGTCTGCTGAACTCAAATATTTGAAATAATGTACGAATAAACAGATTGAAATGATTACAACAACCAACTTTTGGACTGGCTCCTCGTCCTTGTGTGCCCATAACCAACGTTGAAGCGGTACTCGGTGTTGGCGTAAGAATTCTAGTATTCTCGTAAGTTGGAAGTGATGCCGGTGAACTACTGCTAATAACAATTGGTTAATCATAATTATTTTTTCATTTCTCTCTTTTCTTCCTTTCCTTTTCCAAAATGCGCAAATGGAAGTTAAATTAATGCTTGAAGCACTTCCGATAACCAATGTGCTATCATATGCTTAGTTTTGATCAACTGAAGAAAAATGACATACCTATTAAAAGACTGTTGCTTCAATTGTTGATGTCGTCTCAATGAACTATTTGAAATTTCATAATCACTTCCATTAGCTGGAGAAGAAGTACTATCGAAACCTTCGCGATATAACATCGAGACATTTTGAACTAAAACAAAAGTATCTGATGAAAAAAATTTGAAAGAAACACTAAAAATGTAATGAATAGACTGAATTCCAATAAAATCAACAGGGAATAATCAGCGAAAAGATGAAATGAAACACTTTAACAATGAGTATTTTCGATCTCTTTCTAAGTACCGATTTGCCGTATAATATTTATATTGCAAATATTTATAGATAAGTTACAATGAGAAATAAACAATAAAATCTCTCTACCTGACGATAACCTATCATTGTTAATATCACCAACAACACTGAAAAAGGAACTGCTCTGGTCAGGATAATCAGAATGCTGCGTTAAAATTCGTGAAAGTTGTTCTTTTTCTTCAGTTAAACGTTCGATTTCACGATTTTGCTCAGCAATCTGAAATAATAAAGATGAATTTTTATTCAATTAAGTGAAAAATTCTAACTTAGATGAGATCTATTAATTTCATTTAAATTAAAACCTGATTCATCATTTTAAAGGCTTAAATCAAGATCTGCTGGCAAATCTGGCGCAGCTAATCGAATTTTCAAGTTTTTATATTGGAATTTAGATTTGTTTAAATTTCGTATTGTAAGCTCGATTTCTTTCTTTTTGCAGAATAAGAATTCACTAAGATACTGTTCTATTTACCAGATATTAGTTACTCTTTGTCAAATATTTACTTACATTTATGATAAATATCATTTTATTCAACTATAAATATAATCACGACTTCTACTATTTCGTTCTAAATTAAAATTGAAGTTAAAAATCGTAACCTGTTTATCAGATTCATCTAAACGCTGTTTTGTTGCTAAATATGCAGATCGGATCTTTTTAAGTTCTTCCAAAAGCTGCTGTTTAGCACGTATTTCTGATTGTAAAGCTTGTTGAGCTTCTAAGAGCTCAATCTTCGTTTGCTTATTCACTCGTCGTGATCCCCAACCACCACGCTCCGGTCCGCTTGCCGCTACTGGAATTCCTGGAAAAAAATATTCTTTTTAGATTACCTTTCATCTCTATTTGAACGCAGCAAAAACAAAAACGCAATCATAAATAATCACAAACTGTTACCAAAGTGTAATTTTAATGTAAGACACATTGCATATATAAATGAATATATTTGTATCTAAGCAAATAAATATCTACATGATTGAAAGGAATGAAATGAACATACCGTTTGAATAAGCATTATTTGTTGATGATGATTGTTGTATTTTCAGTGATTCCACATCCCCGTGTAGGCGAGTTGCCAAATTCTAAAATTTCAAATTAAAAATTAGAATATCTGTAAATTTTAGCTATTATAAAATTCAACACCTATAATAGAGGATTACCTGCAGTGAATCTCTTGCATCTTTTTCATCATTAACCCATTGTAATAATTCTTGAAGTTGACTTTCAGTAAGACCGGACGTGTTAGGAAATGGAAGTGCTGTTGACAATCGCGATTTGCTGGAAAAAAATTACAATGAAATTCCAACGTAAACAATTCAAATCAATTAATAAGTCTCTGTGGTTACAATTCTCCTGATCTAGATCATATTTTTCTGATAGAATAAAATTTATCTCAAAAAATTAAAAAGTTATGCATTTTTAACAATAATATCCAAAGAAAGTAGCGAAAGTAAGTTACATTTCCGACTGTAATTTGTTCATATCATTTCTCAACTCATCATTCTCAGTACCAAGCCGAGAATTTTCTCCTTCCAACAATTTTAACCTTCTTTCATAAAGATTCTGAAAACGAAATGTTTGAATAAATATATACGCTGTAAGAGAAAAAACAATGCTCCTAGTTCCTATACCATAATAGTCTTTTTGTCTCAAAATTTGACAGCATCTAAGCATATAAACAGATCATCTATCTAAGAATAGAGAATCCAGGAGATGTAACTTTCCTAGTAAAAATTATTTTGTCCAATTAAATTACAAAATTCAGAATAAAAAATCTGAAAATAACTCGAGAAAATCAACAAAGACATTATATTTTCAAATAAATTCAAGAAAAAAAAAGGGACAAACTTCAATGCTAACTATTTGCTCTTCATGTTTTGTGCGCCATTCTGTTCTCTCCTTATCGTGGCGTTCTTTCAGTTTTACTAATTCCTTTTGCTGTTGATCCAAAGTATTCTGCAGATCGATCATTTGTGACTGCAAATATAGCATTTTGAAAAAAAAAAATTGATGGACCTTAAACTCTAATTGAGCTTACCCCTAATATTGATGCTACTTTCTAATAACTATTATATTTGAGAATAAATGGAGAAATTCGGTCCCAAAAAAGGAATTATTATATTTTCTGATCTTCAGAACTGATCGAACGAGATGATTAATAAACGATAAGTACTGACAAAGTAAAATTGACTGTCCCTGTGAAGGGCAAGTAATCTACTCTAATTCATGATTAAACTGGTCTCAGGCAGCATAGAAATAGGTGAATATTCATAAATTTGCTTTAATATATTTACTTTGTATTTAAACAGAATTTGATGTTCGCCCTTCCAATTTGTACAATTCTAATGTGCAAATTTGAGGTCACTGCCTTTGTATCTAAGCACAATGGCTGGCCTTCTAATTTATCTCTGGACAAATGACAGTTCTTTAATTTGACTTAAACATTATCAGCTATACACGAAAATCATTGGGTATAACCATGACCTGCTTTTATACCTTTCAATACATTATATTATCGGCAATACTACAAACCTTCCAATATTCCACAGTTTGCTGACGTTTTTTCTCCTCTGAATCAACCATTTCTGCGTAACGCACGTTTACTTTTTGTAACTCGGATGTTAATCGTGCAACCTCTTCACTTTCAGTTTTCGATTCCTGCGATGCAAGTTTTGTTTGTAATGTTTCACGTAACAAACGTTCGCTTGACAAATCTTGATGAGCACGTTCTGCTGTTGCTTCCATTTCTTTTCGAACTGCAATTAGCATTTTGATCTGCTGAATATATTCTCAGCAAAAAAAAAAGATTAACATTTGTTTCGAAGAAATCTCTCACTTTCTTAAAATAAAGAACTCTATAAGTCCGATCATGAAGTTCTTAAATATGATGTGACAGAAAATCAAATATAAACAACCTAAAATATTTTTATATTTAAAAGAGCTTTCTGAAAGAAATATTTCCTGAAAAAACATGACGAGATCAACTGCTTATCGTCAATTTGTCCCTTTTCATTCATCGGTTACTAATAATACAAACGAGAACTAAAATTTTCAGTTATTTCTCTTCACAATTTTAAAATTTTTTTGTGAAACTGACCACTTTCGAGTTTTCGAAGTTCCAATTTAAACACATCTAACTTCTGCTGCAACTGAAAGAGTTCTGACTCCCGTTCCTTGGCTAATTTTTCGGAACGTTTCAGTTTATCTCGTTCATCTAATAATGCCGTATTAAGCTGTAAATCGGGAAAGATTAAATTCAAAAAAAATCTGTGAATGATTGGTACAGTACGTAACTACCTATCATTAATTAAGAAATGATAAAAGATTACTTCATCATAATCTTGTTTAGCTAAATCTCGATGCTTCACAGCTTCTTTTAGTTCCCTCGTCTGTATTGTCAGCCTCTCAGATGTTTCTTCCAAATCCTATAAATTATATAAATAAGGAACTGAAAACAGGAATTACCATTTTTTTAATAAAAAAGTTAAAATAATCGGAATGTTTCAGACAGTCAAATTCTCTACACAGCATTAAAGAAGCTGTAGAGTAATTTTAGAATCGGACAAGGATATAGTCTAGATCAAATTAAGAAATTAAAGGGAATAATATTTCGAAGCAAGTTAACATAATACCCGTTGTAAATCCTGTTTATCCAAAATTAATTGTCGATTCTTTTCTTTCAGTTCTTTTATGTTCTTTTCCAATTCTTCTTGATTTGAATCCTTTGCTGGCCTCATCGATGAATTGTTTTCTTCCACTAAGCGTTTTTTCAAGATCTGTAATAAAACAAAGATAGAAAGATCTATTCAATTAGTACCACCATACATCTCAAAATTTTTGCAGATCTAAATTTGCTTGAAAATATTTTTAATTACTTTCGAAAGATTTGGATTTAAAAAAATAAAAGTTGATTTTCTGAAATAGCAAACAAATATGCAAACGACTATTACAGCAAGTAAGCACCTGAACTTCATCCTTTAACTGAGCTATAGTTTGTTCGTATTTTGTTAAATCATTTATTGTCTCACCATCAGGAGCTGAACCATGAAAACGTGTCTGTATCAAACGATTTGCCTCTAAAAGTCAAAAATTTTAATTTATTTCCAGTTTAAGGAAATTTTGATGCAGTTTAATAAGAGAAAAGATTTCTAGTTAGCATCTAACCTGAGCAGAGATCATCAATGGATGGATACTTGTATCTTAATTAGCCGAATATGAAAAAGAATTAACAAACCTTGAAATTTCCGAGAAAGTTCCGTTCTTTCTTGTTCAAGTCTTTGTATTCTCCTTTCATATGCTTCAGCCGTTAAGGCTGGTAATGAATCAGCACTTGAATCTAATCCTGATAGCGATAAACTCTTGCAATCCGACATCATGCTATAATATACCAACAAATATATATTTTGTTTACATGTAAAATTAAAATATTAGCTAAAATATGCGATATTTTAATGATGTTATCAAAAAGTACAAAGAGTACCTGTCATGAGTGTAAGTAAATCCTATAAAGGGTAAATGATGACCAGTAAACGGAGCAGTAACATTAGGTGGTTTCGTGTCCTACAAATAACTCAGATTTAGAATATCAAACTTGTATGTGAATTGTTCAAAAGAGGAGTGAACTCGAAATTCAAAATTAAACTTTAAATCACGAAAAACTCTGGCAGTTAAACTGTAAGAATAATATTTTTAATATAGATAAAAACTTGCACAAGGCGTGAAATCTGGTGAGCATGCTTCCACGTCGAAATTTGATGTGTCCGTAGGACTTGATACTTCTGGACGATACGGCGTATCCACTGCAAATAATCTTCAATTGCCTCCATATGAACTGATTTTAACTCTTCTAAGCTTAGGATAAAAAAGAGCAAGGAAGAAGGCTTCTCATGAGTTACGAAACATGAAATGAGATCAAACATCTCAAAATACAATAATTTCTACAATAATCGGTACCATTATTGATTAGCTGAAAGATAAAAGCGTTTATTTCATCAAATGAAGAAACATAAAGACGAAAAAGATTATTTTCTCTTTTCAAAAAAAAAAAACTATATAATTAAACATTAATTTCGAAAATTTCAAAAGATAATAGATAAGACAATGTAAGAATAATACTTACTTTCACGGATAGCTTCCCAATCAATACCTTCAAAAAATGGATGCGAAGCAAAATCAACAAAACCATTTTGGCCAAGGCGTGTTTCACGTGGACAAATTAGTCGCTTCATTAAATCTTTCGCTTCTTCCGAAATATCAATATCATCCGGAAAATCTAACATTTCCTAAATATGAAAATTGTAAATTCTGCACATGAAAAAATAAAAAAAGTTATTTAATTAATTTTACAATATGACATGGCTTTTATTTGAAGAAAAATAAACGTTTATATGAATGAACAGAAATTTTTGGATAAATTGAAAATTAAAAAGACAATAAGAAAGATAAAAATGGATGAAGAAGGGAGATGGAAATGAGGAGCTATACTAATAAATTTCACATTTCTACCATTTTCTGTCTTTCAATTTTCATTCCAATTCTATGTGCTTCTTTCATAAATATGAAAATACAATTTTCAGCAAATCGAAATGGCTCTATCATAACGGAAATAATTGATAAAAAGGAAATAATTTCAATGATAAAGCAATTCTACAGTTATTGTCTTCGTTTTTCCGTCATTTACACATCAAATTGAACCATGCTGCGGTAACAACAAGAAGTTTACTATTATTCAAGCAAGTAAAAGAATTTTAGAATAAAATTTAAGGTTATTATTATTGTATTAATAGCCTTGCCTTCCCTGTACTGTAACGTAATCAATGGAAAATTTTGCTTTATTTTAAAATTTTATTAGGAATGATTTTGAAAGGGATAAAAATAATAAAATTTCAAATGTACGATACAAATATGCATCGAAATTGGATCCTAAATTAGAATGCAAAACATCTAATCAACTGACTAATGACATGTTTAACCATATTAATAATAGTAATATCAAAAATAGTAATTAAGAATGATTATTATTATTATATCAAGCGGCGTTTGTGGTACAGTAAAAGAAATCATCGGAAATACTCATCTATGTTTTAAAATTTCAACCTCTGAGACAGATGTTTCTGAATAACTGCAAAAAAGATAAGCTATAACAATACAAATGGATTAAAGGAAAAAAAAAAGCAGATTAGAATCATCCTTAGCAGTTTCGTAACTAGGCTATAAGACTTTTTCTTCCAGAGAAGTTATGAAGGATAATTCCAAGCAATTTTTCGTAATCTTAATATTTTAAATTGCAAAAAAAAGCTGTTATCGCAGTGATCACTGGAATCAGTTATGCACTAATGTATTTAATACCAATAATATGTAGTTTATAACATTTTCATGACATGATTATGTAGAGTAGCTTAGATGGCAGATTAATTACATAAGCTATGAATATAATATACCAAAAATCGAATTTTTGATCATAGCAGAATACTAGTTTATTCATAAAATTTGGGTCTTGTGGAAATAATTAAATATAAAGGAGTTCAAATAGTAAGCGAATATTGTATCAAAAATTTCTCGATAGATTATTTTAAAAAAAAAAACAAACCTGATGGCTCATTATTTTTCCATATGTTTCCACTAAACTTTCAGCATAAAATGGAGCAACTCCATAGAGCATTTCATACATACATATACCAAGAGACCACCAATCACATTCTGCACCATAACGTCCACGACCATCTTCCATTGCCTACAACTTTTTGTTTAGGAAAAAGTAAAACAAAATGCTTAAAATTACGGCAATCTATTCGAAATTGCTATCCTCATAATAGAATTGTCACTCACAATATACTTGGTAAAATGAAAAAACTATTTGTTCTCCTACATTTATAATACTCAATCATCAGTTATAATAGGTAACATTAGACATTACTATAAAACTTCATTTACTGAAATAGTTAATAGATGTTTTCTACAAGTATAAGATAGCGCAAACTATGATTAAATTATTATTTTATCCTTTCGATCAATAATCTACTTTCAAAAATCACGCGACCAACATTATTTCATTCCTATTAATAAACAACAACTAACTCGCAGTATTTCGGGCGATATATAATCAGGTGTGCCGACTGCAACATTAGAATGAACAGTCCCATCGGGAAGCAATTTCAAGCAACTTCCAAAATCGGCTAAACGGATATGGCCATTAATATCCAATAATACGTTATCTGGTTTAATATCTCTGCAAAATAGATAGGGGTTTAGCAGTTTCAAGAAAAAAAGTAAATATCTGATACTGTACTTATTTAGCAGATATTTATTACTTTTTCTTTACATTACAATGAATTTTTTTGCAATCATTTTATTCAGTATTTGCAGATTTTCGAGTAACTACGATTATCAATAAAACGTCAATTGTTGGTTTAAAAGGTAGCGCATCTTATCTGCATAAGTTGTTATCTCGAAATAATCCAAAATCCATCAAGGATTTTATAAAAAAAATGAGTAAAAAATAAAAATAACAAAAGTAAACCTGTGTACATATCCTAATCGATGAACCGAATCAATAGCAAGTACCATTTCAGCAATATAAAATCGTGCCATATCTTCTGGTATTCGTACTTCGAACTTCGACAACAATGTTAGTAAATCACCACCCACATAGTAATCCATTATCAAGTACTGCAGAAAACAAAATTCAAATTCAGACTGAGATATTTTAAAATTTTGTATAAAAAATGACTTCTGTAGCATGTTTTTCCTATGTGTATATTTCTATTTACAATCCCTTAAACTTAGTGTATCATATAGCATATTGAAATATATGAAAGGATTATTCATTACCAAATAATAGTACGAAGGGATTTCTAAGTTGTTTTCTAAATTGTTTACTAACCACTTTCTAAATTTAATTCTCTCTAGATTTTAAAATTAAACTAACCAGATTTCGCTCATCTTGAAAGGCATAATGAAGATTAGTTATCCATCGGCGATCTCCATGTACCAAGACATCTCGCTCCTCTCGAAAGCATGCTGTCTCAGCTCGTTTCAACATTTCCCACTTGTTTAGTATTTTCATCGCATATACCTAGAGAAAAAAAGGTATGCTCATTGTTTTTTTCAATTTTTTTTTTTTTTGGATCTCAATAGAGTTTTATATGTTATCTTGCAACTGCAATTCTCTTTTGCACCGATAATAGAATTAATTTCATTAAGCATATTTAAGAATGAATTTGATAGATTTCGACAAAAAAGAATTTGCATGTATTCATACAAATATATTAGCAACAGAAAAATTGAAAATTTTCTTCTAAAACGAAAAACAGATCTACACTTTATTAAATTTTATATGGTATACCCTCTCGGTATTGCGCATTCGTACGACAGCCACTTCGCCAAACGCACCACGTCCAATTACTTTGAGTACTTCGAAATCTTCTCGACATAACCGTAATGCCTTCGCTTTCACTACTACTGGTTTTACTAAAAAAAATAGTTGAAATGTGATTCCGTTAACTCAAATTCCACCCGCTCATCTTCTTTAGACTTTTCAATCAACATTATTTTTTTTAATTTCTGCAACTTGCTACACTTTACAGATGCTCCTTTACCGTGACTTATTGAGAAAAGAGTATCGAGGAAGTACATAAAATTCAATTCAACATTAAGTGAAATATCATAAACCACAAAATTATACCAACAAATTTCAAAACAAAAACATAAAACTTTCCAAACACTGAAGGATTCAAAAAAAATTAAAAAATCTGAAACTAAAATTTTACCAGTTCATAAAGGGACATATCGTTAACATCACTTTAGTGTAATAAAATTTTCTTCTATATGATCTCACCTTAGATTAGGATAAGTGTATTAATTTCTAGAAACTAAATCGCAGATTTATTCAGTGATTCAATCAAACTTTTTTAGAATACAAACTAACCATATTCAACAAAATCGGCTATATTTTTCTCTTTACGTAACGTTGAACTACAGCACTCATCGAATAAACATATGAGAGCATCGATAAGTGATTCAATGGAGAAGACATCTTCACCACGTGACACATTCAAATAACACTGTTCCAACTGTTTCAAACGTGTTGAGCCTACTTCACGTAATGACATTGTTTACGTCCAGTCAAACCACGCCTTCCCGTGACACTGTAAGTAATAAATAAATTAAAATTTTATGCAAAAATAAAATGTAGCTGAATAAGTTAATTATTCAATGTTTATTTCGCAATTTATGAATTACTAGAATAAATATTAATCATTTTTCCGGAAAGATGATAAAATCAATTCTATGATCAAATAAGTGTTACTATGCTTAATATTTACATTCAAAATATAAGAAAAGAAAGCAACTAAACTTTTTCCTTCTAAAATTAACTGAAATTTACAGTCGGACCTAACAAAAAGTGAAGTATTAACAAAGTAGCCCTCCAAATCATTTTTATTTAACAGGTAATCAACAGCTAATTGATCATTATACATACATATATAATTAATGATAAATTAGAGTTGAAATTAAATATCAGATCATCTGCCGAGTAATTTACATCAACTAATTATTCATTTCATACATAATCTATGAGAACAATTCTAGACTATACATAAGAAACTGTTATGCAAACAAACATTAAGTATAACTAATTATGCAGTCATTTCCTATGGAAAAATGTAATGAAACTGAAAAAATAATCATTAACAAATGAATGACCAAAAAAAGAGAAATAAGAGAGAACAATGATAGAGAAAGAGGGAGAGAGAGCAACAGAGGTAGAAGAGAACTATCCCATCCTCTTAAATTTTATTCCATCCTTCACTGAAAATTTAAAAAAAAATGTATATATATATATTCATTTACATACATAAATTCATATTGATAGACAAATACTTACTAAATAAACAAACAACTGTCATATCAATTACATACAATCAATATCGATTCACTTTTTTTCTTTATTGTTGCCCTTTTTTTGGAACTAATAAAAAAAAAGGAAGAAAATGAAAAAAAAAAAATCAAATAAAAATATTCTCGCTATCCTATCCTTTTCAGTGAAAGGAGAAAAAAAAATTATCCGCAACATATACTTTTGAAAAATTCTTCGTATTTTTCAATCGAACATTCGTCCCATACTTTCATATTGTATTGTTTGGTTCGTTTAGTTTAACATGATGATATATACTATAGGAAGAAAGGAGGGAGAAAAAAAAAGACCTCCCAAGTTGGATGATATTATCGAACGTTACTTTGCACTTGTCATTACAGTTGAAATTTATTTTTCATTTTTAAATTTCAGGAAAAAAAGAAAATAAATTATTAATTTTTGCTTTCAAACACTATTTTTCTTCTTTCTATCCATCTTAGCAGGAGCATTATCATAAAGCAAAATTATTCTCATGAATCAAAATGACCGAAAAACTTATCATTACAATGACATATGATGTAGCGAAAAATTAAATTAAATACAAGAAAAAAAAAACAACAAAACATTCCATTACTTTGATATGTCATTTATTTTAAATAAATAAATAAATCTATGGTTAAACAAAAAAAAAAGATAAATTTAATCGAACTGAATGAATTGAAAATAAATTAATTTGACGAATAGGATAATCATCAAAATTTTAAGCAATATATTCTTTCAAGAACAAATTACTCATAACAGTCAACAGTCACATTAGTATATAAAATATAGTAAAATTGACTTTTTTCCATCCACTAAAATGCTTCTTCTTTAATTTATATCACAAATGGAAATAAAATAAACCAAAATGAGCAAACTCAAATAAAGATTTATTTGAAAAGGAAAAATTATTTTGTTTAGAAATAAAAAAATTATGAAAACTATTAAGAATATACGCATTACCGAAATATAATTTGATGCTTTACAGAATAAAATGTATATATCCCAACTGATAACTCTAAAATCATGATTATGAGTGAATCATAATCTACTAACGAAACAACGGATCACAATATAACTCCTAACCAAACTTGCTGAGATATAGGAAGCTTTAATTGATATTTATTTTGTTATTTATAACTGGAAAAAAAAAGATCGAATTACAGATCATACAATTTCTATAACTCTAATACATTTGGAAGTGAAGACAATGGAGAGTAATGGAGAGTATATACATATATAACATGAAATCAATAAGCATTAACAGTGCATGAACCCACAAAATTCACCAAAATTCGATTCAAATAAAGATTATTATATTTTACAATAAAATATTGTCTTCTTTGATATTTTTCCACAGATAATTAATCAAACATCTTTTCTACTTATTTATGTTAAAAAAAAAATATTTTTTTCTTATTCATAAAAAATACTCTCTCATCCTTCTTTGCTCATGTAAAAAGCATTATACCCTCTTCCATATAATTTTATC